TCAGTGTGTGTGTGAGTTATAGGTAACTCAGTGTGAGAATTACAGGTAACTCAGTGTGAGAATTACAGGTAACTCAGTGTGTGTGTGAGTTACAGGTAACTCAGTGTGAGAATTACAGGTAACTCAGTGTGTGTGTGAGTTACAGGTAACTCAGTGTGTGTGTGAGTTACAGGTAACTCAGTGTGTGCTGCAACTGAACCCTTGCAGACCATGGTTAAACCAAAACAAAAACGGAAAGATACTAAATTCCAATAAAGGCCTTGATGCCTTTGATGAAGGGGTGTGATGTTTTCCTTGAGTATTTCACTGTTGCTAGCACCAAAGGAAACAGGCAGAAGCTGGGGTTCAGGCCCTGTACCGTACTCACTGACAATCTGTGTAGGTTGGGACGTAGTAATATATCGGCACATATGCTTCATACTTCTCCTTTGCAGCTTCGTTTCCATGTTGGGCCATAAACTGGAAGAGAGAGCGAGATGGGGTTAAAGACTGAAGCTGGTCTGTGGGCACTCAATCTCTTTTCTTGTTTCTGTCTGCTGTTGGATAGTGTTAACCTTCGACCCGACATTGGGAGGTGAGAGAGAACCATGAGCTCCTTCAAGCTCAGTGCCTCACTCAGACTGCCAGGGGTAACAGTAGGAGAGTATACAGGCACAAACCGGCAATCTACTGTGGACCATCTCTGTGAACAACACAGAGAGAGGAGGAATACTGAGCAGAGTGATTAACTGCAGCCTAAGATGGATGGTATCGACCAGGCTGGACACAGTAACTGGGGGACAATATGTACAAACGAAGATAGACAGCAGGGGGATGGGCTCCACCAAGAGAGATTGAGCAAACTGGGCCTGTTTTGTCTGAAGTTTCAAACAGTGAGAGACGTTCGAATTAAAACCTACACAATCCTTGAAGGGATAGACCAGGTAAATGAGGGTAAGGTGTTTCCCAGGGAGGGGAGTCAGGAGGCAGTGGGAGTGACACAATTTTAAAATAAGAGGGATGCCCATTAGGACTGGCAAATGGGAGTAGAATAATTTAGGATATTTGGTTGGCAAGGACGAGGTGGGCTGAAGGGTCTGTTTCTGCACTGTACATCTCTATGACTCTATGACTGAGGTAGAGAGAATTTCTTTTACTCAGTGTCTTGTGAACCTTTGGAACTCAACAGAGGGCTTTTGAAGGCCAGTCTCTGAGTATATTTGAGGCAGAGATTGGGAGATGGGGTGAGTGAAAGGAATCAAAGTATTTGATGAGCCATAATCATCTGGAATGGTGGGGCAGGATCAATGGGCTGAATGGCCTACACCTATGTCGCTAAACGTCTTACGGGCAAGTCGATTACAGAGATCCTCACAGAATCCCCTCATTAATCTGGAGAGGAGTTTGGATCCTTTTCCTTCAATCTCATTCTTGGGCTGCGAGCAATACTGGCAAAGTTGGCGTTTGTTGCCTGTCTCTCGTGACCCCTCGTGAAGCTGACAGTGAGTGGTCTTGAACTGCTACAGTCCAAGCGGTGTACAGACCAGAGCGGCGTACAGACCAGAGCAGCGTATGGACCAGAGGGCGTACGGACCAGAGGGCGTACGGACCAGAGCGGCGTACGGACCAGAGCGGCGTACGAACCAGAGCGGCGTACGGACCAGAG